GAAAAAAAAAGAAACTGACGTTTTTCAGCTGGGAAACAAAGTTTTGCTTTCTTCTACTTCAATAATTAAGCTGATGGCTGGTAGTTCCTTAGAGGGTGGTTCTCTGCAGGTTGTTTAAACGTCTGGTAAGCCATACTCCATCAAAGATAGTAGCACTGATATCTGGAGTCCGACGCCAAAGTTCTACAGGCATGAAAGCCTTATTTGCCGACAGTTCTGGCCATACAGGATGCTCTGCTAAGTTCACTGAACAATTGTACGGGCATGCGGAAGGGTTTAACTTTAAAATTAGCTTCGGGTTTTCGACTGTCCTATCCTGCTCTACGCCTGCGAATGCTGGGCTATGCAGCACGGGGGAGGTAAAAGAAAACTGGAGGTATTTCAACACTACTGCTTGAGGACCATCCTTCGAGTGAAGTAAGCCGACTGTCTGAAGCGAGACAGCCCGCACTCGATGCGGCAACACCGCAAGGATACCCCGGTCGCAACCAGAATAGATAGAACCGCGCGATTCTGTTAGTATGAGTCAAACAGACGAGGAGTCAGGATTAACGAGTACCCTAGGATTGGGCTTTATTCATTTTACAAACTGGTGTATTAGAACTGAAAAGGCGATAAGGAACGGTCAGAGTAATATAGGCAGTTAGTAAACATTTGTCAGGAGGCAGGAGTGAACGTTCGTCAACGAGGGTCAGATTAATGTTAGCATGACAACCTCAGCCCACCCAAGAAAGATAACTGAGGTAGTTTGGGCAAATTCTTCGTGGTCAATCTCACGAGCTCAGTGTTACTACCCTCGACCCAACACCATTACCCAGTTAGAGACGTTGAAGGGTGGGGGTCAGCTCAAAACCTGGCTCTACTTAGTCTGTCGGGATATGGAATTGGGTCTTGCACCTTCGGTATTCGGCCTCCGATATTGGCGAGGAGAATGGATTGAACTGTCCACATCTGTCGCCATGGACCGTCAGGCGTGGAGAGGTAACATGTTGGACATCGTCGAGGCCAGCTAGATCAGTCATTATCGCAGCCGTAGCAAGCAAGCAAGCGTTGTGCCTTCGGGACTCATTTTCAGCAGCCGCACAACGACTAGTGGTATGGGCAGAAAGGTTAGCTGTCAATACAAGCAAACATGCGAGTCCCAAGAAGTAATTGAAAAGAAGACGACTGGATCGCTCGATCTGATGACGAGTTTGCGACGGATATCGAAACGTCAGGCGAATAAAAGTATTGTCCCAGAGATGGAGTCGTCTTTTTCTCAGAAAGGTTAGTGTTGGACTTCTAACCAGACGGTCACGGATTCGAGCCTCGGAGGTCGCTACCCTTTGGGTTAGGTATTGCTGACTGATGATGGCTAATAAGCCAGAAAGGCCCGCTCCAATCTCCCTTGTCTTTGTCAGTAACGTCATCCCGCTTATATCACTACCTGGTTTGTAGCTGCTGGCAGAGTTTGACCCTGAGTCCCAAGGCACAATGGGACAAGTCTGTTCCCTGGCGCAATTGGGGAGCTCCCCTCTGCAATTGATAGAGGCCATCTCTTCCGACGTCTAAGCTTGCTGAAAACTGCCAAGAAGACAGCGATGACAAGAAGTCATATCTGCTGGCGGTCTTCCATGCTCATACCACAGAGCCAGCCGGACCTTCTATTGTCCTATATTACGTGGCAGACCTCAGTCCTCCGCAGTACCATAGAGCATTACCGCTACGGGTCAGAGATTGCGCATTTGTAAGCCCAACAGCCCATATATCTCGCAGTCAACCTTCAACCTATTAGCGTGCCGACAAAACAGCTGTCAGGGTTAACAGGATGCTTGTTCTAGACTTCATCGAAATGTTGTACTGGCTAGGTCAGTGAACTACGTCAATACCAGTTGAAACGGCTGGACGGGATTGTTTGGTAGCCAAGGTCAACGTAGTTGGGAAACCGTACGCTTGTAACAAACTACTTTTTGGCACTTTATTTTCTCTGCTACTACTCAGTGAACAGTTGTGTGTTTGGAGCTGGAGATTTCTGCCTGTCACATACAGTGTGATCGTCAGGCTTGGACATGCGTACAAACACAATTAGCTTGAAATTTTCAAAACACACCGGACAAAGTCACAATCTGGAGTGGTCTCGCAGCATCGTCATCATTCTCATCCCCGGCGGTGGCAGCACCCCCCTTATCATAATAAGCATCACTTTCATTATCATAGATCAAAAGTCAGCCCTGGGGGCAGTTATTATTATGACTCAGCAGGGACAAAATTTACTACCGCATCCCTCCGCCTGAAACCCCCGATCACGCCTTTAGGATGCCGCAGAGATGAGCGAAAGGGGGAGGAGGCGAGGAGAGGGGAGAGAAAGGAGTTCATTAACTTAGGTGTGAATCCGGGGCCTGCGCATCCTGTGTTAACAACAATTTCAACCCCCAAGAGACAGTGGGTATTCATTACACTAAAACAGCTGGGCGGTGGTCTTATTACACGAAGTTTAGCGTGATGGTGGTGGTGGTCCAGAAGGTGAGAAACCAACCCCCTGCTTGGGTCCCCTAGAGAGAATCGCACAGGGTGTGGTCCACGATGTCCGCCGACAGCGCTTCTCGCAGTTGCAACTCGGTTGATACTGTGACTGGAAAACCCAGGACAGCAATCCTCTCTCGATGTCTTAACCAGCTGAGGGCTGACTGAAAGAGGTTCAGCTGGTATCTGATTGTCAGATCGAACGCCTGTTAAAGCAAACTGAGCTGATCTGAATTGACAGACTGTGCTGTGTCTGATGTTTTAAGCCATACAGTCAGCTTACAGTACTAGAATTAGTGGATTCCGTAAGTTGAAGCAGGCTAGGCGCATACCTTGACGCCAATGGGATTAAACTCATGGCACCCAGTCGAGGCCTCGATGCTCAGGTGTGTTGGTTATATTCAGATATTGTCTTTGCTGGCAATACTATCTACCTATGTTACTAGCTGCTATCGCTGCTGAAAGCGTCCGAGAAATGAGACCCAAGGCAAAGGCGAAGGGGGACAACTGAGTTCCGTTA